TATTGTCCTTGCTAACAGCTTAGCCCTAAACACAATGCTATAGTGTTCACCTAATAAAAAGAACACTGGGATCTCTTATGCTTCAGCTTCAGCAGTTTCACCGATGGCAAAGAAACATTGGGAGCTATTGGTCCCACTGTGCACACGCTGGCAGCCTGCCAAGGCACAGATAATTCAAAACCGCAACCTTAAAACTCTGTATGACAGAAGTGCTTTTCATGTTATGTGCATAGTAAATGGAGAATGGATGGGAATTTCCCTTCCAGAGGTGCTTGACGGGTGGGGGGGGGACCATGGTGTACAGATAAGATAAGGCAGTATCATCCTAATGTGTGACAGTGGGTAACTTAGGCTTCTTCGAAATACACAGTTGCACACATAAACCTTTCTCTTCACATAGCAGCGTACTTTAGTCTGAGAAAGTGAGTAGTGTGTGTAGAAGAGCAGCAACAGTAGTAAGAATACCTGTAAACAAGCTGTGGAGTGTCACTACAAATATTATACTGATAAATGAAATAAAGGTAAGCCCTCAGAATTACTTTAATATGATAAACAAGCTTTATTTGAGATGAAGTCATGTTAAAAGAGACCTTTTTAAAGCTATGGCATATATACAACAATAGAAAATTAGGTTTTATGCTGGTCAGAATGGCAACAATTCAAGGTGGACAGCCAGGGCGGGGAAAGTTCATGCTGATAGTATCTATTATGCCCTGTCCTTTTACACATTGTTTCCTGGAACTGAAGAGCATTTTTGTATGGTACATTGCACTATAAGCAAAACACAGTAAGACGTTTTTGGAAAGTGCGTGTGTATGTGGTGCTGTCTGGGCATCATATACTGCTGTGGATTAAATGCCAAAATATACTAAGGGCACTTGTTGAAGCCAGGCATTTAAAACAAACCTTTATATTCTAAGCATTAATCTTCACAGGTAGAGACAACAAATCTATATTCCAGAGGGGAAAAATTACACTTTAATTGAGAAATACCGACATGATTGTAGAAACGTTCAGACACCCCAGAAATATTAGAGAGGGACATGAAAGAAGAAATACTATCCTTCAGCAGTAAAATGTGTAGAAAGGTGATGCTAATGTTGTGCTACAGAATGAAACTCATATGGTAGCTCCATTTGTGCGCCATCTTGTGTAATTTACCCAGTTGGGTGAGTAAAGGTTTCATTTAAAACACACACACTGTTGCTGAAGAAGCTGAAAATGCCATAGCACCCTAATCAAAAATCAATGTGCTCTTTCTTATCTATGCATTTTTGTGGGCACATGGTCCTTTTTACTTTTTCAATTATTGTTTTGAACATCATAAGGGGAAAAAAGTCTGGGTATTTAGGCAAACCTTACATACATCTCAGTTACACAACTTTGCCTATTTAATGTGTTTATGCCAAAAGGTAGAGTCTGTCAAAAGGTAGAGTCAGTCAAAGTCATTCGTTTGTACTCAGAAAAAAAAGACTATGCAGGTAATATTCTTCGTATAACATCAGATAATCCACAAAATGGAAGAAAAATAATTAGAGCATACAGATAATCACAGCTGGCCCAAGATATTTTGCTGCCTAATACGAGGAGCAAATGACACCTCCTACTTATCCGAGTCAAGATGCCTGGTATCCAAAGCAAGGACTTGCTGGCAGTATTGGAGGGAGGAGTATTAACAAAGTGGATAACTAACAATTTCCTACTGTTTCATGAAACATAAAATCTGTTGCCTGAAACAGACGCCTAACTCTCTGCAGAGCTGGCCCAACAGATCATTCAAGAAAATAGACAAAAACGATGTACATACTCTATACCAGTAATGGCAAAACTTTTTTGGGCCTGGGTGACCAAACTGAAAAAAAAAACAACCAGCAGGTTGTGGGCCGTGGCGGAACTGGAAGTGGTGATGGCGGAACCGGAAGTGGCAGTGGAAGGCGGAATACTGGGCATGGAGGTGCCTTGAGACCCCACTCCGGATCCGCCACCAGCACCAGCTGCTCTGGATCCTGGCCCGCCACCTGTTGAAGCACCATCACCGCAGCTGCAGCTGCCTCCTGAGGTTTGACTGCAGGGGGGAAAGTAGCGATCCAGCGACTTATGGCTCTCGTGCCCGCAGAAAGGGCTTTATGTGCCAGCTGTGGCACGTGTACCATAGGTTCGCCATCTCTGTTCTATACTAGCTCATACCACAAAGGACTCCAATAATCACAATGGTTCATTGTGGAGACAGTTTTTGCAGAAGACTGAAGTAATTTCAACTCTGTTCGCAGTCAAGCATCACCCCAGGAAGGAAGGCATTATTAAGCTTTTTGAATGTAAAACAAGTAAAAAATTTGTGTAAAACAAGAAAAATCTTTCTACATTATAATAAACAGAGTTCTTGATAGCACTAAATATTTAGTTTGTACTGATACAAACAGTTGTGGACATAGACAGTAGTGTGAAGGGAAATGGGTGTAATAATCTTCAGTGTATTTAAATAACAGCATGCAGGAGGGAACGCAGGTGGCATATTTGGCTGTACAGTATATCCATGGACAATTGCCAGGTTTCTAATGAATTATACCTTTTAAGGCAGAACAAGTGAATGCTCACTAGAAACAAAAACTACTAAACTGAGACTATCATAATTTGGACATCACATGAGAAGGCAAGACTCACTGGAAAAGAGAATCATATTAAGAAAAATGACAGGCAATAGGAAAAAAGGACTGAGCATGAGATAGATTGACTCAAATGGCCTTGAGTTTGCATGTCTCGAGCAGGGCTGTTAATGACACTACCTTTTAGAGCTTGCTAATTCATAAGCTTAACTTAAACTGAATGTGACTTATGGCATACATATTTACTATTTATTTCTTTGTCATTTTCAAATCAAACCTTACTAGGCCACATTTCTCTCGATAAGGGGACTCAAGGCAGTTCACATTATTAAAATGAATAGAATTAAAAACACAATAAACTATACTGTACAAACAGTTAAATTATACAACTGATTAAAATACATCGAATGATAAAAAACATGTAAAATGCTTTACATTATCTTACATTTTAAAATGGCCCTCAAAGACTCAGTCATGATTGTTAAATGTCTGCCTGGAAAGGTGAGTCTTCAGCTGTGACTACTACAATGAGGCAGAAAGTAGCAGATGACAAATTCCTATAAAACCTGACTTTAATAACATGAGGGAGGCAATGTGGCCATACTGAAACTCCATTTGCAAGATGACCAGATGTCAGGGGTTCACACATACTTTGGCATTTAATCCACAGCAGAAGACACCCCCCCCACACACACACTAACAGAAATGCCCAGACAGGAACTCGCATAATAGCACAACCACCATACAACTATTCATATTATTTGTGGTAAGCTTGCATTGTCTGACATGAAGGTATAGCTTTGAAAACTTATAGAGACCACCAGTCTCTATATAACAGAGATGCCCAGACAGTACACATGTATAACAGAGATGCCCGGACAGGAACTCACATAATAGCACAACCACCACACAACCATTCATATTATTTGTGGTAAGCCTGCATCGTCTGACATGAAGGTATAGCTTTGAAAACTATTCATATCAGTTTGTTTGTGGATGAAAGGACATCTGATGGCTCTCAACAACATACAACATGCTAAATACATACAGTATAAGGAACATACAGACCATCAGAATCTAACACTACTAACATATTCAATTCTATACAGTATTTAGATCAGGCAGCCTCTGCATTGGGTGCATCTCCTGTTGAAAAGAGAGAGTCCAGAGACAGGTTAAATGGTGGTGCATCTCTTGAACTTGCTGTCCAGTGAAGGTCTCCTGCCAATTATTTTGCTATCTTGCCAGGCAAATATACTTTTTATTTTTCTAGACACAAACCTGGGTTTATAAATGTTTCCATCAGCTGTTTTTAATACATATTATTTTTCCCATGTCTGATTTTTGCAGTGTTTTGTACTTGTTAACTTCCCTGGGAACCGATCTCTGAACATATACATTTGTATGTGTGTAGCTCAGGGTTTCAGGCATCTGGCTGTGGGGCCAAAGGTTGTGAGTTCAATTCCCCACTGAGCCTTCAGAGAGAAGAGCCAGCCTGTGTAGCCATGGGCAAGCTGCAGAGTCCCAGGATGCCCCCAGAAGTAAACCACTTCTGAGCACTCTCTGCCTGAAAAACTCTCAAAAGGATTGTCAGCAGACAAAACTGACCTGATGGCACACAAGTACTGTATTATACAGTATGTATCTGACTGTGCAGAGTGGGTGGATGTAGCTGTAGAAACAGGGCGTTGTGCATTGTCTCACCGTCCTTCTATCACTCCTGCAAACCGTACATTGCAGGTGTCTGTACTGTTAGACCAACGAATCAAACCTTATTTGGACCAGAGGCGATGATGGAGCCGAGAAAAGGTGTGTGTATCATTCCCCACGGAAGGAATGCCTTTTGTATAAACACCAGTTGCCAGTTCCCAATTTTAATATGCTCGTTTTCCTCCCGAGCGATTCCTCTTCTCTCTTTATTATGGCTACGAGGGCACGGATTATTAACATTTTTTTTTGCAAAGCCAACCCCAGACCTCCCTGCCACAATATTCTGATAAAAACAGCTCTTTTCGTTCCTTTCTCTATTGCTCACACTGGCATAAGGAGTTCATCCCTGCTGCTTTTGTGCTCCTTCATTGCCTTGTGGTTGTTGGGGTTTTTTTTGGGTTTTTTTCTCCTGCTGACACAGCAGCCACTTCCATTTTTAACGTTGGGGAGGGAGGGGGGAAAAAAACATGCCTCCTGGAAGGCTGGGAAGCTTGGAGGCAAACCGCTCCGGAGCGCGCCCGTTGGGCTCGGCGTCCCGGCAACGTCTTCGGCGACTCGTTCAAAGGGGAAAAAAAAAACAAGCCGCCTCCCGCCCGAAAGCCCGCCCCCTCTCGCTCCTGATAGGCTCACCCGGAATAGCAACAAGCAGTGTCACTGGAAAGGGCAAAGCCCGGCCGCCTAGAAAGAGGGAAGGAAAGTTGCCCGCGGATCCCCTTGGCGATTCGCAGAGCCCTCCGCGCGCGCGCTCCTGTCCCCAGGGGTGCCATGCCCGGGGCCAGAGCGAGCGGCGCCGGGTTCGAGTCGCAGAGATAAGGCGGTGTGGCCGCCTAGGGGGTCTCTCAGCCCCGAAGCCCCCGAGCGGGAGGCAGGGGGTCGGGCGGCGGGAAGGAGCCCTGTTGTTCCCACAGCCATGGGACCGGTACCCGCCACGGAGGACCTCGGCCAGCAAGCCCAGAGCATGAGCGGGGATGAATGCAGCCGCCTGCATAAGCTTCCGGCTCAAACAGGTAAAAAGCCACCTAAGAGTCGGAGGGGCAATTAGGCCTGCAGGGACAAGAGGTGATCACAATGTCCCGGGTTCAAGAAGTGTGGCTGCCAAGGGCACGAAAGGCATAGCCAGAAACCCGGAGATAAAGAGTCAACGTTTTTCTGAAGAATCAGCCCCTCAAGGAAGTGCAGTTGGAAGCATCTGCCTGAATACAGTATGTACAGGTTGCCCTGTTTGCAATCCAGCCCCCCCCCCCGGGACAAACATGGAGGATTCTGGCTATTCTTTATCAGCCCCAGAACGCTGCCATGAGGTGGGATTAGCTAAAGAAAGAGGTTAGGTTTTAACATGTGTGGTTCAGTTTTCTACCCATTATACCACCGCTCCCCCCCCCCATTCTCACACTTGCATGATGACTTTTTAAAAAAGAAAAGAAAACATTTTAGATTGTGTATTTCTGGGGGCCCTCCCCACCCTCCCTTTTCAGCAGCTCAGTCACTTGAGATATCACCAGATCCATTGTTGTGTAATTACAGTGGCTGCTTTGCTATTGGTCTTTACAGGATGAAAATAAAATTGGTGTCCTAAAGTCACTGGATCTCATTGCAATAGGCTTCTCTTCCATGGTTACTGGTGATTTCAGCTTTCCTTTCTAGGTACAGCAAGAATAATATAATTATTTTGGGAGGGAGAGAATTAAATCTCATTGTCCTTGTTATTACAGTTTCTTCATCCCAAGATGTCATCTATACTTGGTTTTTCACTGAGTTCCAAAGATGACCCAAAATAGCTACATGGGTTTACATATTTCTGTGTGGATGCTTAATAAAAGCATGGTGCTTTTTAACCAGCTGATCTTGAACCATGATAGTTGAAAAGTGGGTTGAGACACGCACAGTGTCAGGGGCACCTGTGGATATTTTTAATATACACCAAAAGCAGAAGATGAAGACACACTTAGGGCTCAATCAGACGGACATTTGTCGTACTGTCTGATGTGCTGCAGGGCAGTTGGGTTGCTCTTTTTTCCAGCAGTCAAATGACATAATTGCTTTAGAAAACAGTCTGAGCCCAGGCTGGCCCTACCAACATCTTTATGAGCTCCTCTGAAGCAAACTTCTATTTTTTTGGTGCAGGTAAGTTTGCTGTATTTTGGTCCATTCCAGTGTGTGCAATCACTGGAAACAGACTAAGAAGCTAGCTTTAAGCTGTCAAGGCTCCCTCCACTGTCATTTTCCAGTGTTGTGAAGTAAGTGTGCCACTTCAAGATATCAGCAAATTGACCACTTCCCTTATATTTGGCGGAGGGGTAGGTGAAGTAAATTTTTATTGACTCTGTTAGACCACTGATGATGAGCTGCATCACTTGGATTAATTTTTTTCAAAAAAATCTTTGCCTCGTCTGAAGCACTGATCAAGAAATTGCCCACAGCTAAAACCTCTTATTAAGCCACTTCACAATATCAGAGATTGACAGTAGGAGGAGTTGAACTAAAAAGAGTTGCTTGAGGTCTGCATACCAGTTGGAAGCGAGGGTCACACCAAATAGGATATCAAACCTCCAGCCGACCCTGTGACCTTATTTAGACCACACCAGCCTGCCCCAAAAGGGCCAGTGTAGATGAGCCCTTACTTACATTCTAACCAGTGAATTTATAAAGGGCACCATCTCAAAAGGGTTCCAGGGCTGATCTGAGACATCCTGATGCCTGAGGTGGAATAGCAAGTGGATCTCCCACCCCCAGTTTAAGTTACACAGGCCAGAATCCTAATACCGTGTTTCCCCGAAAATAAGACAGGGTCTTATGTAAATTTTTGCTCCAAAAAATGCATTAGGGCTTATTTTCAAGGGATATATTTTTTTTCCATGTACAACAATCTACATTTATTCAAATAGTCATGTCATCTTCTCGTAGCTGCACAATGGTGGAGGGTGGGGTTTCACTTAACGGGGATTTATTTTTGGGGTAGGGCTTATATTACAAGCATCCTGAAAAATCAGACTAGGGCTTATTTTCAGGTTAGGTCTTATTTTCTGGGAAACAGGGTAGAGATCATGTGTTATGTAACTTGTTACAGGTAATTGTTCCTGATTACCAAACTTCTGGAGTGTATGTAGATTGTGTGCCTGGTTCATACACTCAATTGTACTACAGAGCTGCACCCCAGCACTTTGTCAGTCAGTCACAGCTGAACTATGCAAGATTTACACAAACATCAATAAGATTCCGCCCTTAGAATCCAAGCTCCTCTGAGTTATTTTGGCATAAGAAGCAGAAAATCCTACAAATAACTTTTCCTGAAGCTGAATGTTTGGTGTTGTGCATGACTTGTTTCAGAAGCTATATACAAACATTCTTAGTATGCTAATTTATATTTCAGCAGATCTCCCTAAAAATGTATTCAATGTGCAAAATATCAACCTTGGTTACAACAGTATAGCAAGCAGCTGTAATACAGTAAATGAAGAATGTGTCTCAATCCATCTCTCTTCCAAATGAACATCTCGCCGCAGCACCCTACTCTAAGACTCTAGAAAGTCTTGGATGATTAAAGACTACCACAAATTATGAAAATAATGGTTGATACACGTGGAAACTTTCCTGATTGAGCAAGTGTAAGGATTAAGTGACTATTTTTAGCTAATATGTCTGCTAAACCCTTGCCAACATACTAGAGTTTGCAAAGATATGCTGAAACGTTTGAAGTACCCGTTGTTTTTGTTATTGTTGAAAACATGCCTGGCTTCTAACACAACCAGTCCATTAAACAATTTATTCATGTATACTCAGAAGTAAGTGCAATTGTATTCAAAAGGTATTACTTCCAGCTAAGATTACTACTTTTGTGTTATTTTTCTTTCTGTCCCAAAAGAAATGCATTAGATGCAAATGCTTGTTGCTTGTTGATGCCTCTTCTCTCCTCCCACAGTTTTATTCTCACCTCATTAAATCCTGCTAGCCCAACTTTTCTAAGCGTCATAAATTCTCAGGTTTCTTAGAGGGTGAGGCTTTGTACATGGTCTTCCATGTTCAAAGTGGCCCTTTACTAGATTTTCTTACTGAAAGAGCAAGGTTTACAAGGCTTGATGAAGCTGACCTTCCTCTCTTCTAAAACTTTCATCCACAAGAAAAAATGGGTTTCACAGTCACCTTCCATGAAGACTACTTTTGTGTGCTGTTGAAAGTCCTAAACCAAATTGCATGCCTCAGCTTCTTTTACTTTTAAATTTAAGTTTTGAAGGCTAAGCCAAATTGGTGAGATAGATTTTTAACAATAATGCTAAGGGTCATGTAGTTTCTTAGTGTCACTGTCGAAACCAGCTGTCTGCCATTTCTGTTTCTGAGTGACCTGTCTCAAGCGACCTGAGAATTAGTAGCTCTTAATTGGAGATGGGCACAAACCTCGGTTTGTATGTATGGCACCACAGGTGGCAGTGTTCCCTTCTCTTGCCTCCCTGGCTGGACCTGCCACTCACCAGCCAGTGCATGTTCCTTTCTTCCTCCTCTTTGGCTGTTTGATGAGCCTCCAGCAGGAGCACGGGCTTCCCTGCCTGCCTCCTTGGCTGATGCCCACTCAGACAAGGAGGCAGGACAGGCCAACCTTTGCTCCTGCTGGGGACTGGTTGAACAGTCAAAGAGGAAGAGGAGAGGTGTGTGCAACAGCTGGTGAGTGGGGGAATTCAGGCAGGGGAAGAGAATGCACAGCATCTGTGTGTTTGAAATGAGGACGGAACTTACTTAACAAGGCAAGAATAAAATGGATACCTGGGGGTTGCTGTTCTATGCACACTTCACAAGGACTAATCCTAATAAGGATTTCTCATGAGAAGAGAAAACTCCCTGGAAAAGATCCTAATGTTGGGAAAGTGTGAAGGAAAGAGGAGAAGGGGACGACAGAGGAGGAGATGGTTGGACAGTGTCATTGGAGCTACCAGCATGAATTTGACCAAACTCCGGAAGGCAGCAGAGGATAGGAGGGCCTGGCGTGCTCTGGTCCATGGGGTCACAAAGAGTCAGACATGACGTAACGACTAAACTTAAGGCAATTCACTTCCAAAAGTTATACCTTCTGTGTAACTTGGTAACAAAATTTCAGCCACTGACCAATAAAAGGAAATTATGGCTAGAGTGGTCGAATAAGACCAGATAGGCGGGGTAGAATAAAAGGAAATTATGGCTGTAATTAGGTAATATACACTTGGATAAGAAGGGGGTGGGAATTAGCTGTACACTGAGGATTTCTTTTTCTGTTATGTGAATTAACCAGTTTATGTGCTGACGTAGATTTCCAGATACAGGGGCAATTTTTCAGCAGTCACTAAAAAAATCATGAATTGCTTCATGTACCCATCAGTTGTGGGATAGCTAGTAGAGTATCAGGCAAGGGAAGTGATTAGGCCATGAATGGTTAAAGTACAAAAAGGTGCACGAGAAGCAGAATGTGAGTAGCTACTTCTGCCTTGTGATAATAAACCATGTTTGTAGCTTTAAAAGACAGACTTTACCCTGGCATTGGAAAAATGATGACACATGCTGTTTATTAATCTCATATTTCACCTTCTTCATTTTCTAGTATTGTTTTCTTCAATTTAATTAATAATAAAAAACAGTGCTTTCTGATAAGTAAAGTTTAGAGTCCAGAATCAAAATATAGCCTTCACTAAATAGGACATTACATAACAATACTTTGTGAACTGCTTGTGGAATGTACTAATGCAAGACAAGGCAGTAGCAGCTAGTTAAAATTATTTTAATAAGAATTTATATAAATTTGTAAAATCATCTGTTAGCAATTACAGCACGAGAACAAAATTGCAGTGTAAGTCTGAATTTGAAAAGGGCACAGCAAGCTCAGGTCATATGAGTAAAAGGTGAATCTAAATGCATATTTTATGAATATTAGAAAGGAAGACATGTTCTTCCTCTTATTTAGGCTATTTCTGGGCCAAAACAATTCCATCACTGCTCTACTGCCTGTTCTGTGGGTTGTTTTAATTCAGTTCCTTGTGCAAGAATGTCTCTATAGTAAAAAGTCTTACTGGAATTGTTATTTTGAATGGTTTAAATGAAAGAAAATCCTCTCCTGTTTCTGTTTGTTCCCATTTTGCAGAAAAGTAATTCTGGAACAGTTATCCCTGGTTCTTTGTTGTGCTAAACCTAACAGATGGGAAATGCCTGGGGAAAAGGAGATATATCTTGATATTAGCAGGATATACTGTATAATTTACCATTGTCAACATTCAAAACTCCCTATAGTTTTGTTGTTCCAACTAGGAAATCCATGTTCTGGCAGGTTGTGAATATTAGTGCTTTAAAACAGGGCTCTCCAACCCCACCCCACCCCGGTCTGTGGCCTGGTGACAGTCCATGGCCTGGCCTGGGCCGTGGAGACAGATAAAAAGGTTGGGGACCACTGCTTTAAAAGCTGATCAAATTACAGAGTTAATGTTCTCCGAGCTCTTGATACTTCTTTCAGACACACCATGCTCTATTGTATATCTAATCCACCAAATCCCAACAGGTTATGTTTTGGGACTTCCATTCATGACCCATTATACTGTGTGAAGCTCCATCCACTAGGATTACCAGATTACCAGAACCCATTTCTAGCCAACAAGGTTCTATTGTTAGTGGCACCTTGACATACCAGGTTTTTACCCTCCTGGTTTTGTTTCGGAGTCACACAGCAGCTGGATATTTTTAAAATCAAAATATGCCACTCTTCATTTTTCCATAAATGAGATTTTTATAGACTTCTCCATTGATTTAACATGTTCCTTTGCTTGAGATCCTAGGCAAATATTGATCTATAAAGTATATTATTTTCTGATGCTGCCGAACTAATGTGATTACTTTCATGTCCTTTAATTCCAGGCTGTGGAATGCTTACTCTTCTGTCAAGTGCCACTGCTGCTATTAGTGGCTTTCTGATGGGCTATGAACTAGGAGTTATCTCTGGAGCCCTTCTTCAGTTAAGTAGTATATTGACACTTTCATGCCAACAGCAGGAGATGGTCGTAAGTGCTCTTCTGATTGGTGCCTTACTAGCCTCATTGACTGGTGGAATCCTGATAGACAAATATGGGAGGAGAAATACCATCATGTTGTCATCTTGTTTACTTGTACTGGGAAGTCTGCTCTTGATCCTCTTTGCCTCATATGGGTTACTTATAGTAGGTCGGATTGTGATAGGTGTTTCCATTTCACTCTCCTCGACGGCTACATGTGTGTATATTGCGGAGATTGCACCCCAGCACCGAAGAGGCTTACTTGTATCTTTGAATGAACTTATGATCGTAACGGGTATTCTTTTTGCCTATGTTTCTAATTATGCTTTTGCCAATGTCCCCCATGGCTGGAAGTACATGTTCAGCCTGATTATACCATTGGGGATCTTTCAGGCCTTTGCTTTGTATTTCCTTCTGCCTAGTCCTCGGTTCTTGGTTATGAAAGGCCTTGATGAGGCTGCTAGCAAAGTCCTTGGAAGACTCAGGACTACCTCAGACACTGCAGAAGAGCTTGCTATGATCAAATCATCCTTGAAAGATGAACACCAATACCATTTCTTGGATCTGTTTCGTTCCAAAGACAACTTGAGGACCAGGATGCTAATAGCAATCACTCTAGTGTTTTTTGTACAAACCACAGGACAGCCTAATATCTTATCTTATGCTTCTACTGTTTTGAAATCTGTTGGATTCCAGAGCAATGATGCAGCAAGCTTGGCTTCTACTGGGGTGGGAGTGGTTAAAGTGATCAGTACAATCCCTGCCACACTTTTTGTGGATAATATTGGAAGCAAGACATTTCTCTGCATGGGCTCATCCCTCATGTCGGTGTCGTTGGTCACTATGGGATTAGTGGTGCTTAATATACACATGAATGCCACTACAGTCTGTAAAAACCAGTCCTTGGAAGACTCATTCCACGGGGTGGGAAAACTCACGTCCATAAATGAAACCTTGAAGGAGTTGTTTCCTGACATGGTGCCATCTAGCAGAAGCCCACAGTGGATGGCTGAATTTGCCAATACATTGGCACAGAACAGGACAGCCTTGGCAAAAGGTGCAGTCTCTCGCACAAGCCAAGCAGAATCAGATCTAACAGCAGGACCTGTGGAAGTTCAACCAGTTCTGAAATGGCTTTCTTTGGCTGGCTTGCTTGTTTACGTTGCTGCTTTCTCCATAGGACTTGGACCAAGTAAGTAACTCGTGTTTTGTTTTCACCTTTTCTGTCCTTGATAAACTGTTTTGACTAAATAGTAAGAGTGTGAAGTGCTTACAGTGAAATCATTATGAACAGTTAAAGTTCTCAATTTACAGGAAAACCAAAACCCTACACATACATACACAGTTTTGTTTATTTGTCTGTGATATCATTAAAGCATAATTCTATTAGATACTGACTTTGTCAGGACATTGAGGAGGCTCTGGGCCACCATAGATGTGATACAGTTCATGCAATTTGCCTTGCATTACGACGTTAATTCGTTCCAGTTTGCATGTACAGTGGTGCCTCGCATTACGACGTTAATTCGTTCCAGCGAAATCGCTGTAGAACGAAAACGTCGTAAAGTGAAAATAAAAAAGCCATTGAAATGCATTAAAACCTGGTTAATGCGTTCCAATCGGCTAAGAACTCACCATCCAGCGAAGATCCTCCCTAGGGGTGGCCATTTTCAGGGGGCCTGTGCAGCGAAAAATGGCTCCTAAACACAGCGGGGAGCCATTTTGAGCACCTGGCAGCCATTTTGAAAACCTGACAATCAGCTGTTTTGATCGTCAGGAAGTGAAAATCGGTTCCCGAAACAGGGAACCAATCATCGCGCAGTGAAATTCCCCAATTCAAAATGTTGTTTTGCAAATTTGTTGTTAAATGGAGCGCCCGTCTTGCGAGGCACCACTGTATTTTTTTTTAAGAATAACTAACAAATATGGTGAAGGTTCCAGATGGAGGAAAGCTTATACTAGCTTGCATGGGAGATTTCTTCTTGACATAGATACTAGGCTTGGAGGGTTCTAGATTGAGACTGCAGCAGTGGAAGAGGGTTAAGGCCTCCAGAAGTTACTTTGCTGGACTATAAATCCCAGGATTCCTGGGTAGTAACTGGGGGATTCTGGATGTTACATTCTAAAAGGTAACTTTAATTATAACTGATCATTTCTAATTTGGTGCTCAGAGCCTTTCTTGCAGGTTAAGAAGTGCAACATGCTGTTTTTCTGAGACAATGTAACATCCTTAGTCCCATTTAAAAAAAACTATGAGTTACTATTACTTGCTTTTCCTAAAATGTTGTTTGGTGGGAGGGGGGAGTCATTTTGGTGAATGCAAGGGGCAGTCTGGAGACATATTTTTTCCCATTTGTAACAATGTTTTGCAAAAAGGAAGTGAAAAATGCACAAGTGTTACTATATAATGGGAAGCAAGTTACTTTTTAAAAAGGCAACTATGTTGAACCAGTTACTTTAAAAAGTTTGGAATTGAAAACAGTTACTGCTATCACTACTTGCTGGTTTCCTGAGTAACAAGGAATGACAACATGTCTTTTTAACAATGGAGTGACCCATTGAACCATTGCTATTTTAGTGCCATGGCTAGTGCTATCATTGTGCTTTCGTTCTTATTAAACTTTAATTATGCAAGGTGGCCCTTACATAAAATTGAAATCCTGTTTGATTTTTATTAGGACATTCACTGTTGTATGAATTCGATCATTTATCTTTAATTATTTAAGGTGGACAGGGAATGTGTACTCCATCTAACTTGAAAATAAGTATCCTGTACCATTCAGTACAGCACGAGTACCTGTCTTGTCCTTCCCCAACAGCTATATAGCCTAGGAACTATGAGGCAGAGCCACCCTGAAATATCTGGGATATCTCTTCCTTCCGTTTATAAAATGCTCTAAGAATCTCAAGATTTGAAATAGTTTTCAGTGGTGCAGCTACAGAGTAGGATACAAAAAACCCACATACATTTTCAGTTACTATTCAGTCCGCACATCTCATTGCTTATATACTGCCTCCTAGCTCTTAAAGCATTCTCTGGCAGTTTAATATTTAATTATGCAGGCTGGGTACTCAATTTACTGACCTTGGAAGAATGGAAGGCTGAGTGAACCTCGAGTTGGCTACCTGGGATTGAACCCAGATCATGAGCAGAGTTTTTGCTGTAGTGTAACTACCGCACCATGAGGTTAATCATAATCTTCACAATAAAGATTATTGTGGGGCAATAATCTGAGGGTGTGATCACATGGGAAAATAGATCACTTGTGGAGCAGTCCAGTGCAATCTATTTCCCGGTGATCACATGATGTTTAGGGAATTGCACTCCAACAAGTCCAGTGCAATCTATTTCCCGGTGACCACATGATGTTTAGGGAATTGCACTCCAACCTGGTCCTAATCCATGCCCAAGCTGAACATTTTTGGTCCAGCTGTAGGGTAACTGTATTTCTGAGCAGGGCTGGAGCAATTCCCAGACAGATGGGTTGTCTTAAGGGAGATCTCTACCTGCAAAGTGACTCTTTCCAATGCAATCAGATGCTCTCCTTTCCTGGAATCTCTAGTAAAAAACTAAACATTTCTACATGAAACTCCAATTCCATTGATTATTTGGGAAAAGTTAAGACAGGAGGGCCTGGCATACTCTGGTCCACTCTCCTTTCCTGGAATCTCTAGTACAAAACTAAACATTTCTACATGAAACTCCGATTCCATTGATTATTTGAGAAAAGTTAAGACAGGAGGCCCTGGCGTACTCTGGTCCATGGGTCACGAACAGTCGGACACAACTTAACGACTACACAACAACAAAGGCCTTATAGCATTGAATGAATGCTATAAATGAATACCGAATATGTATAAATGCCCCATTTCTTTTTTTTAAACCCTTGTGCAAGATACCAGAAACAAACAAACGAGGAGCCCGCAACAAAAATTTCCTTTGTATTCCTGGGCTGCACAAAATGCTCCTGTTCAAAGACCCAGTCAGCCTTGGACAGGAGTTTTGTAGTGATGTCCTGGCCTACAGAAAGATTTTTTCTTTGTTACTTGTAAAACACTACAGTATATCCCATAGTACTTTTCATATAGTGTGGAAGGCTTCTTTTTAAGTCTAATGGCATCAGTCTCTCTAACACTGATCTTCACCCTCCTAAGAGCTTATTATCAGAGAGTTGCCACCTTGCTGCTCTTTTGCAATTGTTCTTATCCATAAGCTTAACGGATAAATTCATACTGCCTACCTGACTTATGGTTCCTTTAGAATTTTCTCCATTTCTTACTAGAGAAAGAGTTTCTTCCCTCTATAGCAGAGTGGGCTGCACACAGCCTTGCTTTCACCCTCACAAAAAAAACCCTCACTGTGCCACAGCCAGTGAATTTACACTTTCATTTTAAAACAAAGTGTGTGGAGAGCGCATTCTTTTGTTGTTGTTGTTGTACTTTACCAGCAAGTTGGTTTTTTTTTATCCTGTCCTCAGAAGCTTCCTGGAAACCTCAGCACCCTGTTTTAAAAACAAATTTGTTTTGCTGCCACCACTTCTTCAAAATTCAGTGGGGCAGTGGCAGGCAATTGAGCACTGGTTAATCCAGGTGAAACACTGATTTCCCCCCTCTCCCGCTGAATGAGTTCTGTAAGTTCTGGAAGCTTGTAGGTCTTGATTAGGCCATCTTGTCAAGCTTCATAAAATGCATCCATTTCAGCCTCCTGTTGGTAGAAGAGCTTTGGATCCAGTCGATGCCTATGTTAACAAAAAAAGGAGACCCAATTTTTAACCTATTTCTTCCTTCCTCTGTCCCATAAAAATCTCCAGAGAGTGGAAGGCCTTGCAGCTCATCACAGTAGGTGACTGCAGGGCAGAGAAAAAGTTCCCTCTTCTTCTGTTAGTAAAGCCTCCCAACTAGGCCATCTGAGAAAAAGATAGGCTCTCCCTATTTGTGCAAGTAAGCTTCATATATGGGCCAAAATGACAGCTGAGCAGTGAAGCAGCTGCATTTGGTGCTGACAAAAAGTTATTTAAAGTGGGGGAAAGACAAATAGATTTTGAGAAGCTCCAGGAGAATGTCTCTTGAGCCAGAAGAAAGGGCATTAAATTGGTAGATGACCTTCTGTGCATACAAGTGATAAGTGAGGCAGGATCAGGGCAAAAAAGAACTATGCATAAACACTGTGGGATCTGAGCTGGCAATGATGGGGCAAGAGTTTTTTGGGTCATGGCAGATTTTTGGGTCATGGCAGATAACTTGGTGAAAATGTTGTCCACTGTGCAGATGCTGCAAATAAAGGCAAACTCAGCTACACCACAAAAAGAAATTCATGAGAGTAGAATTCCCTGCTAGTAGCAATGCTGCATAGGAGAATATTGCACCAGTGAAACGTCTGACGGATGGGTAGCCAATAAAGGCATAAAGCCTCTGTTAGGAAACAAGAGGGCAAATCCATCCACCCCAAACCTGGACATATTTGAAGAACTGTTTATTACACCTCTCATAGAATCTTTGTCACATTTGCTGTGATGCAGCAGAGGAAATATGCCCTTGTTTCCAGAATGAGCAGCACTATTAAGTACTGTCAGGTTCAATCTGATCTGAAAGCAAAGCAGCTGAAGGCCAAACAAGAATAGGCTTGCCTTATTGCTAAATAATCTTGCTTTGTGAAAGGAAACAAGTGGACATTTTGCTTCTCCTGTGCATTTTGTTGGCAATGTTACTTGCCTCCAGTACTCAGCTACCATGAAGCACATCTATAAAACAGTAAAAAAAAGGGGAAAAAAAGAAATTGGTCATTTCTTTAAAAACAAAACTTTTCATTTCATCATCATTTGATTACCTCCTGTTTTCTGTTTGAAATTAAGTGCCACGTTCAAGTGCAGAACTATACCTATAGTTCCGAATCCCCAGAGAAGTCTGCAATGTTGAATTTATCCTTATTCTTTCACCAGTCCCCTCTCCCCATCCACTCTAGCAAGTAAAATTTTAGCCTTGCTTATGAGCAGTTTTAATGAAGATGGATGTAGGGATTGGTGGACATTTATAGTCTGTCACTGCATTAGTCTGACATCCCTCTTTGAAACTTCAGGGGTTTCTTCCACATTTGACTTTTGTAAAACCAGAAGTACTTTCCATCCAGAATCTAAAGAAAACCACAAATTTAGATATTTTCTTCCAAAACAAATGAAAAAGATGCAGACTTAT